CTCCAGATTTACCCTGGCTGTTGTCAGCCCTGCTCAATGCCAGGCAGCCCAAAATCACCAGTTGGCTTTTCCCCCTCCTGCCACACCCAGAGACCCGCTGCCCCAGATCCCAGGACCTGGCATTTGCTGGGGGCAGAATGCACGTGGAAGCATCGCTCTGTAGGAAAGTGACCCCCCCCCCCCCCACGCGCGGGTCACACCTACTTATTGCAATCGCCCCTAGCAAGAACTTGGGAGAGTAGATTTCCTGCATGCATGAAGAACATAAGTACGGCCAGACTGGGTCAGACCAAAGGTCCATCTAACCCAGTAGCCTGTCTGCCAACAGTAGCCAGTGCCGGGTGCCCCAGAGAGGGTGGACCGAAGACAGTGATGAAGTGATTGGTCTCCTGCCATCCCTCTCCATATTGCAATCGCCCCTAGCAAGAACTTGGGAGAGTAGATTTCCTGCATGCATGAAGAACATAAGTACGGCCAGACTGGGTCAGACCAAAGGTCCATCTAACCCAGTAGCCTGTCTGCCAACAGTAGCCAGTGCCGGGTGCCCCAGAGAGGGTGGACCGAAGACAGTGATGAAGTGATTGGTCTCCTGCCATCCCTCTCCAGCCTCTGACAAACAGAGGTCGGGGCACCATTCCTACCCCCCGGCTAAAAGCCTTTTATGGACCTAACCTCCATGAATGTATCTAGCTCTTTTTTAAACTCTGTTATAGTCCATATGCATGAGGCTTACGATCCCTCTGTCTTTCCTCCTTGCCCAGGTGGGACACGAGTCACTTCCAGAAGGCCGGTGGGCCGCAGAAGGATAGCTACGTCATTCATCCCGAGTTCGTGTCGGAGTCTTACCCCACTTCGCCGTGTTGGTAGAGAGCAGGGCCGGGCGCCCATTAAAATGGGCCTTGCCAACCTGGGCGTGCTCGTTCCTTGGGGTGCCGACTGGGGAACGTCCCCGCCTCCTGGCAGTAGCTTCGGGCAAGACGCAAAGGGAGCTAAGAGGAGGGTGGCCCGCAGCCTGCATCTCGCAAAGAGGAAATGGCAGCCTCAGGACCGAGACAGACTCAACCCCCAGGAGCATGGGACCCACACGGGGGCAGCAGGCGAAGGCGCGCAGGGAGTCTGTCTTTGCTCTGAGGTGTCCGTCAGGCCCTTCTCTGGCAGGGTTGGGAGCTTTTTATATGCTGCTCAGAGACCGGATTAATTAGCAGTTGCAGAGCTGAGCTCACCACACCTCCCCTGCCCCCAGAGGAAACGTACTGAGCAGCACAGCTGCTCTTACCCCCCACCCCCTTACTGCCTCTCCAGGGCTGGCATTGCTGCTCGGGATGGTTGGGAGGGAAACGGGATTGGGGTCATTCTGAGGATCTGGGGAAGCTGACAGGGTCTCTCTGGTGTCCCGGGGATCTGGGGAAGCCAATGGGGTCTCTCTGGTGTCCTGGGGATCCAGGGAAGCCGACAGAGTCTCTCTGGTGTCCTGGGGATCTGGGGAAGCTGACAGGGTCTCTCTGGTGTCCTGGGGATCTGGGGAAGCTGACAGGGTCTCTCTGGTGTCCTGGGGATCTGGGGAAGCTGACAGGGTCTCTCTGGTGTCCTGGGGATCTGGGGAAGCTGACAGGGTCTCTCTGGTGTCCTGGGGATCTGGGGAAGCTGACAGGGTCTCTCTGGTGTCCTGGGGATCTGGGGAAGCTGACAGGGTCTCTCTGGTGTCCTGGGGATCTGGGGAAGCTGACAGGGTCTCTCTGGTGTCCTGGGGATCTGGGGAAGCTGACAGGGTCTCTCTGGTGTCCTGGGGATCTGGGGAAGCTGACAGGGTCTCTCTGGTGTCCTGGGGATCTGGGGAAGCTGACAGGGTCTCTCTGGTGTCCTGGGGATCTGGGGAAGCTGACAGGGTCTCTCTGGTGTCCTGGGGATCTGGGGAAGCTGACAGGGTCTCTCTGGTGTCCTGGGGATCTGGGGAAGCTGACAGGGTCTCTCTGGTGTCCTGGGGATCTGGGGAAGCTGACAGGGTCTCTCTGATGCCCTGGGGATCTGGGGAAGCCGACGGGGTCTCTCTGGTGTCCTGGGGATCCAGGGAAGCCGACAGAGTCTCTCTGGTGTCCTGGGGATGCCGATGGGGTCTCTCTGATGTCCCCGGGATCTGGGGAAGCCAATGGGGTCTCTCTGATGCCCTGGGGATCTGGGGAAGCCGACGGGGTCTCTCTGGTGTCCTGGGGATCCAGGGAAGCCGACAGAGTCTCTCTGGTGTCCTGGGGATCTGGGGAAGCTGACAGGGTCTCTCTGATGCCCTGGGGATCTGGGGAAGCTGTATTTGTCTACAATTCTCTAATTGCTGCTTCTCCAAAAGCCTTCCCTCTCCTGCTGCAAGTGCCGCTCTGCATACGTGTTGTAACACGGCAGGCACAGAGTGAGAGCTTCACAGCCGTTCCTGCACCACTTTCTGTAGCCACGTGGAAAGGTTCGAACTCAGGCCCTCCTGCTGTGAGTTTACAGGCCTCCCCACACTGCTGCTTGAGCTGAATGAGAGTCTTCATGTTTGCAATATAGGGTATATGACACACAGTTGAGCAGTGCTGATTCCCTTCAGAAGAGGTCAGTGGTAAGTTCACAGCCTTGCCAGTTCATGACTGCATTTTGCTTTTCATTGCTTAAATATCAGTGTGATGGGTAACCATTTAGTAACAACGGTGCCAAAAGACCTACAATAGTTGATTTGTAACCAACTTTTAAAATGTGTCTCCTGGCTTGTATCTTCATTTCCTTCTCCCCCGACCCTGAACCCCAGACTAGTAGAGACAGCCTCTGTTAGTCTGAACTAGTTAAACAACCTTAACTCTGCCCCCGTATTCCTGCCTATGTTCTGCTCCTTCATATCTCACTCCCACCCAGCACATAAGAACTGATGCCCCTTCCTCTGCATAAAAGACTTTTATCACAAGCCGGCTGTGAGCTAGGGTGGTATTAATCCCATTGAACTGAGGCATGCAGCAGGAGGAGTGACTACTCCATCAGGACCGGAGTCCTGATCCCGAGCCCAGCATTCAAGTCAGCCTTGATGAGGGATGAGTAACTAAAAGAGGGTGGCTAATATTCCCATTTATTAAGGGCTTGATTCACACCAGGGCTGAGCTCTCTAATCAGCCTGCGGGATGTGGGGGGCAGGGACAAGTGGAGGCCTATCAGCTTACAGCCCTTAAGAACCAATACAAGAAAGTGCCAGGCCTGTCCAGAGTTTAGACAGGTAGAGAACATGTCTGGCATAAGAAGACTAAGCCCACAGAGCAAGCAGCTCACCCCACTAGTCCTGCTGGCCCAGTCCTCCCTGGCGGCCAAGGAAGCCAGACTGTCGCACCGCGGCCTCAGCCTTCTGCGTGGCTGGGCGTTTTTGGGAAGGCTGAGCCTTCCCTTGCCTACATTATCAGCTGTCCATGTTAACGGCCCTGCAGAGATGAGCAGGGCAGCACCTAAACCCCTTTAAAATCTGGGCTTTGAGCCCTGCGGCCTCTGTTCCCCATAAGCAGGGATCCTGTACCTCACAGGGGGCTTGTAAGGAGAAATCTATTAAATATTTGGAGGTTCTAGCCAACATTTCTCCACTGCAGCAAAAGGATCACTGGCTCCCGTCGGGTGAGCCCAGCCAGCCCTCTGGAAGTAACATCTTCCTCCCGCTGCTGACCTGGGCTGCATCTGTTCTGTAGCAAACCCCCTGCAAGCAAAAGTCCCCGGAGCCGCCTGTAGAAAAACACGCCATGGGCCCAGCCCAGTGGCACAGCCAGAAATAGAAGTGATAATGACACCGGCCCGACAGATATTAAACCCATTCATCACTTCCCGCCAGGGCTGTTTAGAACGCTCCCGCGTTTGCCAAGTTCGCCTCTGCGAGCCGCACAGCTGCAGTGGGCTAAGGAGAGTCGGGTTGCGGGACGGCTTAGCGTTCCCTAGGGTAAAAAAGCCCTTCGGAGCTAAGATCAGGAGGCCAAGGAGCACCAGGGTATGCTTTGGTGTTTTAACCAGCTACAATTATAAACTCCCCCCAAAGAGTTGCTCCTGGAAACCTTCCCCGATCCTTTAAGCACCATGCCGGAGTGCACTACAAATCAGCTAGGAACATAAGTCAACATGTGCATGTGAGGTGCAGAGGGAGGGAGGCAGTAGGGGGAAGGAAACATTTTCCAGCATCATCCGCAACAGTCCCATGACAAAATCTGCTTCAGGAATGTTTCTGTCTGAGCA